GATGTTAAATTTTTATTGGTTAAAAAATTTCACATGATTATTTCACGTGATTATGTGACTAAAGAGAATACTTTTTTTAATATAAGATTTTCGAAAAAGATGTGATAGTGACTATAAGTAGATTGTGATTATAAAGAGTAAATTTTGTATATATAATTTCGGGATAACTAACTGAGGTGACTATAAAGGAGATTGTGACTATAACGGGAGTGACTATAGAGGGAGTTGACTGTAGTACAATGATATACATAGTATAAGAACATAGAACCTGATACATTTAACACGTTTCGTCACGTATAACTTCAACTCAACGCCAAAAGAAATTTCAATATTAGATTTATCATACAAGCATGCTGGTATGTCAATCATCTAATTTTTCGTTTTGACTTGACGTGTTCTTATTATTATATTTTTACAGCAAATCAATACTTCGAGTCAACTCCCGCGAGTGAATGGACGTATCCCGGGTATCTCGAAAAAATGCAACCATACTTCAACAACCACTTCAAACTGAGTTCATTGAAATCGACATGGAAGAAACGATTTAACGAACATTTGAGAGAAATCGAAAGAGATCAAGTAGGTGAGAAATGCACATTTGCGTCAGATCTTCTTAATCAGGTCAGTAAACTTGAAGACCTTATAAAAGCAAAATCAAATGGTAGGGATCGTTGCTAGCAAAATATTATCGCTAGTCTGTATAATTGTACCACACGGGGAGCAGGTGACGCCCTGTTAACTCCTGGAGTAGGTGACGTCCTCGGTGCAATGTACAAGAGTGCTTCTACTATACAAGTTGTACCACACGGGAGCAGGTGACGCCCTGTTAACTTCCGGAGTTAGGTGACGTCCTCGGTGCAATGTATAGCAGGGCTCCAATGATCCTTATAACATTACAATAAACGATAAAGTATTCATTTTTTATTTATATTCTTTAGAAGGGTTTAAAAGCTACCGAACTCTGGAATCAGTTTGAGAAGAAAAGAGCACTACAGAATCAGCAGGTATATAATAAAAGTGGACATGTTTCAATTAATGGATTCATCTAATAATGTCATATGTTGTTAAATAGCATAACACAAACATTGATATACAATTAAGTACGTTGAGAGTGATGAGCACTTCTGCTACCTGTCAGGAAGATGAATTGGCCGGACAGATGGTAGCTTCGAGTATCAGTGGCAAGAAAAATGTTAAACACAATAAAAATGCGGTAAGGAGTGTTGAAGGATGTGTCAAGTATTGTTAATGTCCAATATTTGTAAAGTAAGTAATAACATACATTTTCCATTTTATAGAAACGTCAAAGCGATGAATATCCCGAGAGAGAAAAGCAAAAATCACGTAAAACTAGCATTGAAAATTCTCATCAAGCGGAATGTTCTTATAGGCTGAATAATGTGCTGAATGTTCAAGAAAGCTTTGATGAGAACAATGAGGAAGAAGTTATTCAAAATGTCGAAGTAAGTAATTATGTAACAATACATTCTAAACGAAAATGTATTTATAGCCCTTTTTCATCGTACAGGTAATAACAGACTTCTTGGGAAACGATATTGAATGTTCGGAGGCATCGAAAAAACTTTGTTCGGCATATATGGAACAGTATCCCGATGGAGACTTGATTGACCTCCGTTCATGTTCATCCTTCCTCAGAAATATTCCAAGATCGATATCAAGTTCATACCTCTCAGAAATGGACACGATAACCGAACAATTAATTCCCGATAATGTGCACAATTTCCTGGTGCAGTTTTTTTCACAAACTATTTCGGATACAGAGTGGCAAGGCAAGGTTGACGACCTACGATCTCCAGAAGAGAAAGACCCTCTAATGGTTGCAGTAGTCCGAATTTTACGTCGGACATTACCACAATTGTATGTAGTTATATTGATTCACTTTTTCAGATTATGTCCTAACCATTTTTTCTCTCGAATAGTATTAAGGCGTTCTCTCTCGAACATCAAAACCCTCTCTTAAACATCGCAACGATCGAACAAGCACACCTTAATGCGTTTGTGCACCCATGTCTCGATAGCGCTCTGTGGAATCTAGCAAATATACACTACGAATATGGAGAAATCCCGTCCAGGAATCACGTTAATAAAAACCGCGCAGATGGTGTGGGTTATATGACTAATGCCGACAAATTTCAACTCGTTTATGTGGAAGGATCCAGACCAAACGTGAAGCAAGAAAAGGAGGTCGCTGACATTAAAAAAATCATCAATAACATGAAAAGTTTGTTTTCTAAAATAGTAAAAGAACTAATTAAAACCCGAAGGCGTTTGCCAGAAAAGCTGAACATATTTGGTGGCCAAAGCTTTCGCCTTCGAATTTATCTATATTACCTTGATTATTGTGGTATGTGTTTCTTTTCATCAAAAGACTTAAACTATGAGGAAGCACTGTTAATTCATTGCCAATATCAATTTAGGTAAGTATCGATTAAATGAAGTCGACAACGCAAACTTACCTCGGGAATTTTCTGAAATGCCGGATTTCGTTTATTTTTACGAATGTGTGCTGAAATGGGCAGTAAGTGTTGATGAAGAGTATTTGATTATGGACATTAAATAACACTAATCTTACGCATTGTTTATGAATTTAGTTGTTGATTCAGGCTAGTGTGACTTCCTTTAATGAAGCAAGAGTTGAGAAGAGGCCCTCGAGAATGTCATATGCAGAAAGCCTATTTCGACTGCAAGAATAGCTTTAGGTATCTTAATACAGTAACAGCTTAGTAAAATTACATAATATAATATTGAGTAAAAGAAGTAGCGTTTTAAGCTTATAATACCTATGTAAAATGAGATTCTTTATGTACAAACATAATGTTGCTTTTGCTTTCTTGATAAAGTATGGCGATTGCTGAAATTTTTCTTTGCACGTCCGGCAATATCTATTATAGTGTAAAAAAAGTGTTCTTATTAATAAAGTTTAGCCTGTTCGACCATTTATTTTTTCCATATGTGTTATAATATTGGTACTATAATTAGCAGTCATAGGATATGTCGATCCTAAATGATTTTCATATACTTTTAAAATTTTATATTACACAATAATTCTTTAACTAATTTTTAACGTTATAATAAAAATTTATTTAAATATTTGATTCAAATATATTTTTTATATTT